AAACAGAATACAGAGGATCATCAAGATCATACACCCTGACCAAGTCGGATTTATTCCAGGGATGCAAGGGTGGTTCAACATACGTAAATCAATAAATGTAATACACTATATTAACATAGTCAAAGACAAAAACCATATGATCATCTCAATAGATGCAGAAAAAGCATATGACAAAGTTTAATACCCATTCATGATTAAAAAAAAAACTCTACACAAAATTGAAATAGATGGTCTATATCTTAACCTGATAAAGGCTACCTATGAAAAACCAACAGCCAATATCATATTAAATGGCCAAAAAAACTGAAAACCTTCACGTTAAAATCAGGAACAAGACATGGATGCCCACTATCACCACTCCTCTTCGATATAGTTCTGGAAACATTAGCCATAGCAATTAGACAAGAGAAAGAAATTAAAGCAATAAATATAGGAAAGGAAGAAGTTAAACTGTCATTATTTGCTGATGATATGATACTCTACATTGAATAACCAAAAAAACACTGGCAAAAGATTTCTAGACTCAATTGACACTTTCAGCAGAGTAGCTGGACACAAGGTTAACACCCAAAAATCAATAGCCTTCTTATACACAAATAACAGACTCACTGAGAAATTAGGGAAACAATTCCTTTCATAATAGCATCCAAAAAAAATAGAGTATCTAGGAATCAATCTAATGAAGGAGACAAAAGATCTCTACACTGAAAACTACAGCACTCTCAAAAAAGAGATCGAAGAGGATATAAGAAAATGGAAAGATAGCCCCTTCTCCTGGGTAGGAAGAATCAACATAGTGAAAATGGCCATACTACCAAAACTGCTATACAGATTCAATGCAATACCAATTGAAATCCCAACACTATACTTCACAGAACTAGAAAGAAGAATCCAAAAATTCATTTGGAACCAGAAGAGATCTAGAATAGCAAAAGCCATCCTAGGCATCAGAGACATGGCAGAGGGCATAACAATTCCCAGTTTGAAACTATACTATGAAGCCACTATGATAAAAACAGCATGGTACTGGCAAAGAAACAGACCTAAGGATCAGTGGAAATGATTGGAAGACACAAAAACAAATCCAGATGTACTCAGCTACATCTTTGACAAAGGAGCTGACCATCCTCAGTGGAGGAAAGATAGCCCCTTTAAATAAATGGTGTTGGAAAAACTGGATTTCAACTTGCCAAAGATTCAAACTAGACCCTTATCTTTCACCATGCACTAAACTAAAATCCAAGCGGGTTAAAGATCTAAATATTAAAAAAGAGACACTAAATTTGCTGGAAGATAAGTTCAGCAGAACTCTTGAAGACATTGGCATAGGAAAAGACTTTATGAACAAATCCTCAGTAGCACGGGAACTAGCAGAAAGAATCAACAACTGGGATCTCATCTTATTAAAAAGCTTCTGCACTGCAAAAGAAACCATCAACAGAACTAAGAGACAACCTACAATGTGGGAAAAAATTTAAACCAGGTGCTCCTCAGACATAGGTCTACTATCTAGAATATATTAAAAACTCAAAAAAATCAGGCCACCCCTAAATATAAAAACCAATTCAAAAATGGGCATCTGAAATGAACAGACATTTCTCAGATAAAGAAAAGCAGCAAATAAATATATGAAAAAATGTTCCACATCATCAGTCATTTGAGAGATGCAGATGAAAACAACACTGAGATTCCACCTCACCCCAGTAAGACTGGCTGCGATCAAGAAGTCAATCAATAACAAATGCTGGCGGGGTTGTGGGGAGAAATGAACCCTTCTCCACTGTTGGTGGGAGTGCAGACCGGTGCCACCACTATGGAAATCAATATGGAGACACCTCAAAGAGCTGGGACTGGAGGTTCCATTTGACCCAGCCATCCCTCTGCTGGGTATCTTCCCAAAAGAATTAAAAGAATCATATCACAGTGAAGTATGCGCACCCATGTTTATAGGGGCACAGTTTGTAATAGCTAAAACTTGGAAACAGCCCACCTGCCCATCAATTGGAAACTGGATAAAGAAGATGTGGTTTTCCTATAAAATGGAATATTACTCAGCCATAAAGAATGAGAAAGTAGATTCATTCATAGGAAAATGGGTACATTTTGAGGATATACCTCTAAGTGAAATAAATAAGTCACACATATGCAAATGCCAAATAGTTTCTCTGGTGTGAAAAACTAAAATAGTAGTCAAGACCCTAAAGGGGCAATTAGCAATATGAAATAGGAAGAAAAGGACCAAAGGTGTAGGGACAGTGAGAAGGATAGGGAAAGGGGAATAAGGGAAAAGGACAAAAATATGAGAAAATGTAAAAATGGAATTAAAGTGTTTGAAGGTGGGGAGGTGAGGAGGGGGTGAAGGGAGGGTGGGGACAAGGGGGAAAAAATGAGAACCAAGACCTGGCATGTAGAGGTACAAGATCCCAGTAATGAATGTAACTGTACTGTCTACCTAGAATGCACCAATAAATTCAATTTTTAAAAAAATCCCAGCAAGGTTCTCAAAGGTTTGGGGCACAGTGATCTCATGGCCACTAGGCAACCCCCTGTTTCCTACACTGGGGCTTGCATAGATGAAGTTAGAATGGTGTGGAAAGATTAAAAAATGAGTAAGATATCAAGATTTACCCTTTGTAGAAAGAATGAAATGTTCAGGAACACAGTGATGTCTATGCACTAAAGAACAAGTAAATACTATTGCCACACAGCTGAATAGTTATTATAGAAAGGCTTCGTAAGTGCACAATACTTTCTTTCTGACTATACAAAATAAAAGTTTAACTAAGAAGTTGAATAACCACAGGAGTTCTTTATCAAAACCGAGTGACCTGCTAAGAGTTGGCCGCAGTCTTTCCACGGCCGAAATAGACACATGAACTTTGAAAAATGGTGGCAAGCTTGGATTGTTCTTTTGATTTTGCTTTCATTTATGCTTTTACTAGGAAATTGCTTGATTAATAACAGCTGAGGCAGGCCAGGCGTGGTGGTGCACAGGTGTAATCCCAGCACTCGGGAGGCTGAGGCAGGAGGATTGCTGGGAGTTCGAGGAGCAGCCTGGGCTACATCGTGAGTTCCAGGTCAGTCTCAACTACACGTGAGACCCTGTCTCAAAAAATAAATAAATAAAGCACAAACTTTACTGGAACAGAGGTCCTCCCCTATTTATATTCAACACATAAGATCTCACTCTGGCCTTCCTGGCCCCAGGCCCAAGGTAACTCTCTGAGAGTAGGATTGTTTCCTGCCAGCGGGTGGGAAATACCACTCGAGCTATGCACAGGCACCAGAAAGTCCATCAGTCGGCACAGAGTCTTGCCAACATGTTTCCCTCACTGACTAACGAACGATGTAAACAAATCAGAGCGTGTTCCACCTGTAGGCCTCTGCTTCCTACTGGACCCCTATGATGTCAAGGCGTGAACATGAGAGGACTAAAAAGCAATGCACTCTGCCAGATGGATGTTACTCATGTTTCATCCTTTGGTAAACAAAAATGCGTCCACGTCACCATACATAGCTACTCTGGGTTTCCGTGTGCCTCCGCCATGATGATGTCATCTCCCACTTGCTGAGATGCTTCTGTACTGTGGGAGTCCCCTTTCCCATCAAGACTGATGATGGACCTGCTCATTTCTCTAAGACGCTAAAAGATTTCCTTGACAAGTGTGCTATAGCCCATGTCACAGGAATCCCTCGTAACCCACAGGGCCAAGCGATTTTCAAGCATTTTAACAAGTCATTTAAGGCTGTGCTTCTTAGCCGGGCGTGGTGGCGCACGCCCGTAATCCCAGCCTTCCGGAGGCTGAGGCAGGAGGATCGCTGTGAGTTTGAGACCAGCCCGGGCTACATAGTGAGCTCCAGGTCAGTCTCAAGTACATAGTGAGACCCTGTCTCAAAAAAACCCCAAAAACAATAAAACAAAACAAAACAAAGACTGCTTCTCTAGCAAGATAGCGCGTCAACGTGCCATACACCTACCGATAAAACGAACTTTGCTCTCTTTGATTTCCTGACTTTTGATAAAGACAATGTCAGCCCTGCACATAAACACTGGGCCAGTGTTCAATCCCTAACCGAAAGTCCATGGGTTCAAGGGAGGGTTCCCTCCCCCAACGCAGGATGGGCCCAGCCCCTCGTTGACTCTAGGGAAGGATTTGCCTGTTTTTCCTCAGGATCGCGATCAGCCCCGGTGGGTCCCTGTCCCGGACGTCCACGCAGAGGTGGCGACGACCCCTCAGGGGATCCGCAGCTGCCCGGGTGACCTGGGAGCCTTAAAGTCTCTCTGTGACCAAGCTCAAGGCTTGGCCCCTCCTGGCTCTCCGAGCCCCATTTCGGCGCCGACGTGGTTCGCGCGGCATTGACGCCAATTCCACACAAGCCCCGTCTTCGCCCTCCACACAAACGTGGGCCTCCATCCCTAAGCCCCCTTTTTTGTCAACGCAGATTGGAATTCTACCTGGCCGAGGCCTTCCGGCCGTGATTCCCGTTTACATCCAGCAACCAAGGAGCGATCACGCTCACACCGCCCAGCAGCTGCGGCCGCCTGGAACACGTCTGTCTCCGGGCCCTCTGTCTGTCTCACCCGTTCTCCGGGTCCCCGCCTCTGC